TTGTGTGTGTGTGAGCATTCATGCATATATGAGTATTATAGAGAGTGTATATGTGTGTGTGCATAAGTGTATGCATGAATGTGAGTGCGTGAGAGAGTGTGTGTGTGTGTGTGTGTGTGTGAGAGAGTATATATGTGCATGTGTAAGTGTGCGTGCGTGCATAAGAGTGTGTGAATGTATGATTTCAAACTAAATTTCCCAACTGCAACCCATAGGAGTGAAATAATTTTAAAGACAGGCTATATTTAGCCAATGCTAGTTTCAGTGTGAGATTATATTTAGCTCCCTCAAGGTCCGTACTGAAGTTACCTGCGTGGCAGTTTGAGCAGTAGAGTGGCGAGAGTCACGGCAGCAAAATCTGCGACAGCCAGTTTGTAGAACTGTTGACCCACATAGCTCTCCCAGCACTGGGGGTAGAAAGACATGGGTGGGGAGGTGGAGGAGGGGGAAGTGAAGTGGGAGGTGGAGGTGGGAGGTGGAGGGGGTAGGAGGAATATTTGTTTGATAAATGGAAAAATTAAAGGGTTAATATGAACGAATGAGCAAGATCTCATGCACACAACCACGCACAAACAAATACACACATACACTAACACACAAATATGCAAACCCCACAAACAAACAAACGTACATGCCACTCTGTCCCCCCACCCCATCAACTATACCCCCCGCCTATACATCCACATAATCCCAAAACCCCCACACTCCCTCCCACAACCACATACACATACACATACACACAAACACGCACCCTCACAAACATCCACCCCAATATACCCCCTCCCCCCTCACCATACACACACACACACACACACACTCACATATATCCACCCCTATATACCCACCCCCAAACCCCCTCACACACCCACCTTGACCGTCCCCTTCTCATCCTCCGTGGGAGAGTCTGGAATCTTCCACATGGGGTTCCCACAACAGCGCGTGACATTGGGGAAGAAATTTTCCTCCTCCGGACACGTATAGGATGTCCTCTCCCTCTCGTACTGCAGCTGGTAGTACAGCGACACGATCAAGACACCCACCATGGACAGTCGCAGGAACACAGCTCTGTCAGCACAGGAACAAAGTTGGG